ACGGGAGTTGTGGACGGCTTCACCAAGGAGCTTGAAACTCAGTTGGTTTCCACGAGATTGGGACATAGCACAAACTCCTTCAATGCGCCTAGGTCCGAGGAGTCAATGCGGCAGTATTTCCACAGGGCCCAAACCAGGACTGCTGTTTTGAAAACCAATGGTGCACAGCTACTTGCTTTTGTGGCTGCAGGGCAATGGAGGCTCTCAGTCTGGAAACCCGGGCAAGGCTGGGACACACCCGCCCTTTGTAATGGAACAGAGGGGACCTTGCTCCTTTTTCCACAAGCCCAGTGACAAAACGGAACGGGGAATCTATTGGGGTTGGGGGCTGAAGGGACCCATCTCTTTAGACCAAAAGAAGTTACTTGTTTCTGAAAAGACTGATGGGCGAAATAATGGTCAAACAAACTCGGAGTAAAAGTCAACAGTTTTGACACGCCCCCGACCCCGGTCTTCCAGGCCGACCTTGCCTGCCGTGAACGCGAAGAAGCCAGCGCCTAAAAGGCGTGTCAGTGCTGGGGCAAAGACTGCAGCGGCCAAGCCAAAGGCTGGTCAATCCAAGCTGAAGAAGCGTGCGAAGCCAGCCGACAAGGCTGACAAATGAATGATTTTGATTTTGCTTCGTTTTGGACAGGGGCAGCAGTTCAGTGAATTGAACACACCTCACTTTATGCTTGCAACTAGCAGTTAGACTTTGAGTTGGTGCCCTTACCAAGTCCATCCTGCGGAAGGAGCCCTGGCCAGCGCAAACAGTTTCGTGTGAAGCTTAATTGGCTTCAGACATGGGGGCCGGCTGCATGGCAGTTGGCTTGGGGGATCAAAAGGCGCGAGCCTTGCCGGCTAGAAAAGTCAATGGCACCTTTTTTGTCCCGCCATAAAGACAGGTAACTTCCAAGAGCGTGAGTAGTTTTGACTTTGCACTGCTGGGGATGCTCTGCAAATTCTTAACGGCCAGGCCTTGCTGAAGAAGCAGAGCAGGCGCAAGCTGGGCCATTTGGTTTAGCCTACGCAGAGGGCCTTGCCGATGCAGCCTTGTTCTTAGACTTGCTGACTGACCACTCTGAGAGCTGAGAGTCCAACCCGAACAATGTAATTTGTTGGTGTTGGAGGAAAGCCCTCTCGGCCTTGCCTGGCATGGCAGTTGGGAGTTTTGGCAATGGGTGGCACCATCTGCGAACAATGAGGATGCTCTTGAGTTCAGCGACCAAGCCTTGTCATCCTGGAATTGGGCATGTGTCAAATGTCAGAATGAGGGTCCCGCAGCGATTGGCGCCCTTTAAAACCTGGTTTTGGAAGGGTACCGTCTCAAGCACTCATTGAAACCAGGGTGTGTCTAATGGTGGGGGGCCATGAAAAGGTGCCCCATAATAAAATAAAAAAACACGGACCATGTGAAACCTTGTCCCGGCAACGTGTGTCAAAATAGGGACCCTCAAGACTCAAAACTGTTGTTGCTTCTGGTTAAAACTGGCTCAAAAAGGGAACCCTCAATGGCACGGGCCCAATTGAAATCTTGTCGCAAGGTGTGTCGATCGCTGTTTTCAAAACCCAGGACCTGGAAACCTTCGCCAGGTGTGTCAAAGTAGGGGGAGCCCAACGAGGAATCATTTGAAGCTTCTTCCCAAATCAAAATGGTTTTTGGTCCTCCTCAAAACCCATTTGAAGCTTTTTCTCCACACAGTGGTGGTTGACCCAACTCCAAACCGCCAAAGAAACGGACCACTTGGAACCACGATCCAAGGTGCCCGCTGACACCTTGGAGAAGATGAGGCACGGCTCCTTGGAGGAGCGTTGGGGAGCTCACCCAGCAAACAAGAAGAAGAAGTACAGCAACGCGTCAAGGGATGCCCACCGACATCTGAAACGTTTGGGTGTGGGGTGGAAAGTCAAGCAGAGCACCTATGTGATGCAGACTGAGGATGGCCCGATGAATGTGCCTTACTTGGAGCCTCGTTCTTTGCTCCAATACATCATGGAGAAAGCTCCGGAAGTTTGCTGGGGTGGATTTGACAACCAAGTGGAGGGCGTCCGCTCTCTGGAGCTTTTCTGGAGGTGCTATGAAAAAGCACACCCCGAGCATGAGGTTTTTCGTAGTGAGCACGCAGGCTCTCTTGGGTACGTTGTTCCCCTCATCGTCCATGGCGACGAAGGTAAAGGACTTCGCCGGGCCAATGTTGCTGTGGTCTCTTTGGAGGCGGCTGTCGGAATCCACACTGTCTTGAACAAACAGTCAAGGCGGGGATATGGCACTTGCCAGAGCTGCGCTCCGCAGGTGCAACTGGGAAACTCGATGTTCTACAAAGATAGGCACAACACACTTCCGGCTTCGAGCCAGTGCACCAACATGACTGGGCACTCCTTCCTTCAACACTGGCCTTTGTGGCTTGTGCCGGCCACGCTCAACCGAGACTACGACCCCTTGATCTCCCAGCTCATGGACCTGACTGTGGACAGTTTGAGGTCTTTGTTCTTCGAGGGGGTGCGAGTTGGACACACCACCTGGGCGTTCGCCATCGTAGGCCAAAAGGGAGACCTTAAGTGGCTGAAAAAGGTTGGGAAACTCATCAGGGGCTACGAGAACAAGGGCCGGGTTCGAGATCGCGCGATGTGCTGCTCTTGCCTTGCTGGGTCAAATGCCCGGCTGCCCGGCTGGCCTACGAGGATTTCTCGGACGACCCAGCCTGGAAGGCGACGATGTGGTCGTCCAGGCCTTGGAGCCATGCCAACTCACCGTGCTTGGCGCGGCTTCCATTTGACCAGGGGGTCCCAGAAAAAATCCTGAAGATCGACGTCTTCCACACCTGCAAGGTGGGGGTCTTCAGGGATTTTGTGGGCTCGTCCGTCATGTGGCTTGTGCAACACAGCTACTTCGGCAATGTTGGCGATGTGGCTGCAAAACTGGGGGTAGCCTTTGGGTCCTTCAAGCTGTTCTGCCACGCGAACCACAAAACCATGTCCCTCAGGTCCTTTACGAAAAGCTTCATGAACTACAAGAGCAGTCGGAGCTTCCCGTGGAGTAATTCCAAAGGCTCAGACACGATGCTGATGTTGCAGTGGCTGAGGACACTTTCGGCAACCCAGCAGTTCGACTTGCAGGACCCCACCCACGGCGTCATGTTTGAGGTTATGTATCAAACAGCATGCTCTGCAATCAGATTCTTCGAGGTCCAGAACACACATGGAATCTGGCTTCAGAAAGACTGCGCCACTGTCTTGCAGGAGCAAGCGTCTGGGTTCTTGCGAGGCTTTGCTTGGTTGGCCGCTCAGACTCTGCGTTCTGAATTCAATGGATGGGGCCTCAAGCCAAAGCTTCATTATCTGAAGCACGTTCAGTTGGAACTTCTGGATGCTGCTCGAGCCAACCATTCGTTCATCCTCAATCCAATGCTGTTTGGATGCGAACAGAACGAGGACCTTATTGGAAGGGTTTGTACCCTATCCAGAAAAGTCAGCAGTCGCCTAATGCAACAACGGGTACTTGAGTGCTTTCTAGTCAAGGCTGGCATACTCCTGAAGCGTTTCAGGCAACGGCGTGGTTGACGCTGGACACTGTGCTAAGCCCAAGGCCGAGACAGGCTTTGGATCCGCACAGCGGGCCCAACCACGCCAACTGTGTTGAAGTGTGCAGCTTTTTTCCTTCAAGAGAGGTTACCGTTCAACTGACATTGCGATTTGCAATGCTTCTGTGGTGCTGTTGGGCTTTGCTGTGAATTGCGCATCATTGCGCGCAACCTGGGAGAGCGGCGAAGGCCGGCAAAAAGAAGGCGGCGATCCTGTCTTCCATGCTACCCCCCCCCCTTTCTTCAAGTGAAACAGGTGCCATTGACGACCTTTTTTTTTTGAAACAACGTTTTTTTGTGGGACCGGCGACAATTATTGCTGTTTCAGCAAACGGCGCTTTTTTCGCAACACGGAAGTTCCAGGTATGGTGTATAACCTCGGTACCTGTGCCTGGAAATGCCGGTTGCTGCATAACTGCCACGACCTCCAACAACACCGTTTAGCGTTCACCTTGAGTATCGGGCTGCGATTTATTGAGAACTTATACAATAAGCCTTTGGGAAAGAGGGCGCCCGTCTTCGTGTGTGTGTGTGTGCTCGCATATATAATTGTATGCTTGCTTGCTTACTTGTACGCTTGCATGCGGCATGGCGTGACTGCTTGCTTGCGTTCCTGTCAGTGTGTGTGTGTGTGTGTGTGTGTGTGTGGGTGCGTGTGTGTGTGTGTGTGTGTGTGTGTGTGTGTGTGTGTGTGTGTGTGTGTGTGTGTGTGTGTGTGTGTGTGTGTGTGTGGGTGTTTGCTTTGCTTAGGTGCTTGAGGGCTTGCTTGTGCAATTGAGTTCTTCGTGTTGTGCGGTCTTGCTTTACTGGCTTTACTTGCTCGGTTCTTTGCCTGGTTTGATTGCATGCTTGCGGATGCTTGCGGATGCTTGCGGATGCTTGCGGATGCTTGCGGATGCTTGCGGATGCTTGCGGATGCTTGCGGATGCTTGCGGGTTTGCAAGGTTCCACGCGTAAGTGCTTGCCTGCGTGCGTCCTATTGCTTACGCTCTTGCATGCTTGCGTGTGTGCGTACTTGCCGTGCTTGTCGCCTCGTGTGCTTTCGCGCTTGCACTCTTGCTTGCTGTCTTGCTTGCTCTTTTGCCTGCTTGCTTGCTTGGTTGGATGCCTGGGCTTGTGCTTGGTGCTTGGGCTTGTGCTTCGTGAGTTTGTTGGTTTACTCTATTTTTCCCAAAGGCATTCCCGGGGGCTCTTCCGGTAAAATTGCCAGTCTTACCGCATCGCGCAGCCAAATAACACGGCACAAAACAGAGCAAGATGCACGAGGGCAAATGAAGAGCAAGTCACTTGATTTACTCGACTCACTCGACTACTCCTCCGGGGGGTCTATGTGTGCGTGTGTGTGTGTGTCTGTGTCCGTCTCTGCCTCTGTTTGTGTCTGTGTGCAATGGGAGGCCGGTGTGGAAGCAGGGACCCGGGCTCCGCTTGAGGCCACTCGCCATGGCCGAGGCGCATTTCAGAGGGCGGGCATGGAGTAGGGCTGAGGCTACGTTGCTTGGTTGTCGTTGGGAAACATTTTACATTTTTGCTTATTCTGGTTTAGTGGGAAATCCCCACTTAAGGCTAAAATCTAAATTGTTGTTCCCCTTCCAACGTCAACCAAGCTTGTTCCAGGATTGAAGGGATGCCAAAAGGAAAGCCATGATTGCACTTCTCGTGTCTTAAACAAATGACCGCTCCCTCCTAGTCTTTTGCACACCCACTTGAACATTCAACCCCTTGTCTCTGCTTCCACTGTGGGGGCTTGCTATGATTTTCGTCACATTGAGCAACCGGCCAAGGGCACGTTCAACCCACGTCGGTAAGTAGATCATAGCCTCGGTGTGCAAAGAGCTATCTCCATTTCCCACTTGCAACTAGGGTTGCAAGCCACTGGGTTGGTTCAAGTTCGAACCTCCTCACTTGCCCATCCGGTCCGGCCAGGTTCGACACGAGTCTTCCGGGAGTTCATTGGAGAACCAGGAGACTCTTGGATTTCAGGTTGAGGCCTTCGGGTCATGTTTGCCCACAGAAACACCATCATGAAATCTTTCGACCTGAACCTGAACTATAACTTTTCATTTGCGGTGGGAAGAGGCTTAGAAAGCCGGTAGTTTATGCGGGGCCCGACATAGGCGCTCTCAGAACATCTCAAGGCGCCATTGCTCCTAGGCTGGCTGCTCTGCAGTTAGGTTGCCCACAGTTGGTAGCCAGGGCTTCTGTCGGTGTGGAGCGTTGTCCTGTTTTAGTTGACCATGGCGCTTAATGCAAGCGAACGTTACCTACGAAAGACAGGGTTGTTCAGAAAGAATCCTTATTCCTCATGCCAGATGGTGCTGGCGTCCCTTGTTGCAGCGGCTCTCTACCAAGGATAACGGATCCCACTTGTGACGAACAAGTGAGTGGGAGTCCGCATCTCTTCTTGACCGCAGATGGCATGCCATCATGACTATCACCCGGGAAGTAAGAGAAGTGTCAAGACTTCCGGGGCGCGGAGACAGTCATTCAGAGAACACTCCATAGTTTCAAAATGTCTTTCAACGCATACTGCTGGGTCAGTGAGTCAGCATGCAGCATAAAACAGGTGAAGATACTGAAGTATGGGTCGCCTGGGAGGGTGACCGCGCGTGTATGTATAGAATGTAGAAATCGCCTTTCTTGCCGGATGATCTAAGGCGCGGAGGCAACTGGAGCAGCTTGGTCCAAGAGGGGTGTCCAAGTGCCTGGTTATTGCTGGCACGCCATGGCACGCTTGTCTCCCCTTTCCAATTTGCCCAGTTTCTGGTGTCCAGACCACTTTTTTGCGGGAAGACAGCAATTCACTCGTGCGGACCTTTGCAACTTGCTCCAGAAAGTTGTTGCTTAGACATGCTACATGTGGATGCGGGTCGGGCAAGCAAAACAAGATACGATGAACAGCTTGCCCAACATAGATGTTTAATTACGTTATGCCGCTTGCCTGCATGTTTGCTTGCCTTCATGCACGTCACGTACGCAGAGTCGAGATTCCTCAGGGACAGAAAAAAAGCCGGCTGTCAAGGCAAAGAACATATGGACAACTCCGTGTGCTCACTACAGAACCCTACAGCAGTCCTCCCTGACCCCCGCCACTCCGTCAAAGAGCTTTACATAGTCATCATAGCTTGACTGATTCTCTGCGGCATCGCCGTTTTTCCCCAGCTGGTCGCCAAAGCCGCAAGGTGCCGGAAACAGGGAAGACCTGCTGAAGGAGGCGCGCCTCTCTGAATCGGGAGCGTGGCCGTGGCAGGTTTCCGGTGAGGACCAGTGTGGGTGATGTTGGCACGTCCTGTGAAGCCAGTTTTGTTTCTTTGTTCGATTGTGGCATAGGCTTGCGCTTCAACCCTCTTGAGAGGGCAACGGTGTACGATGCATGGCGTCAAATGTATCACGTACAGCAGACCTTCAGAGGTCGTTGAGCGAGGCTTTTCGTAAGCTCTGGCCGGGCCCAGCCAAGAGCCTGCTGCATTGGGATCCAAGGTTTTCTGACGTTACCGCGGATTTTTTTCAGGCAAATCAAGGTTGGGCAACATCGCCAGACAAGAAGAACACGGCCCCCCACCAAAGACCCAAAGGTTGTGCAGCGCCGGGCGCTAATCTCGATCCCTTTCTCAAGGCTGGTGCAGCTTCTGTACACTCCGGGATCCCTGAATGTGCTGTTGTCAGCTCCACTTGCCCGGTGCCCTGTTTTCAGCTCCTTTCAATGGTTTCCCGTGCCTGAACAAATTTGAAAGGCAAGTTTTTGTGGCATTCTGCCCGCACATCCGGCTCCAAAGCCAGGAGCGCCTGACTCTGGCCCCGGGGGAGGTGAAGAACTACATGGACGTGGGCTTCGCTTCTGTGTACCTGAAGGCTGGGCGCAATAGGACGCACTGCACACGCGCGGGATGGTGCAATATTGCGCTGCCGGCAAAGGCGCTGAATCTGGGGGGTTCTCCGATCCTGCTTGTGAAGTCTGGTCTAGAGCCCGGAGAGGTGTTGACTTCTTCCAAGGCAACACAGCATGCTGGCGCTGTTGCAGATTGTGCTCATTCACATTGTTGAAGTAGGCGTCCCTGCTCCATAGGCATAGTTTATGTGCTTGACAAACCGTGGTGTAAGCTCGTCTTCGACAGGCGCCCCATTCGTTTGAACTGGTCAAAGCGTCCATTCCGATTACTTCCGAAAAGTGATTGACCATTGCGCATGCGAGTGGATCCCCAGTAGCCGCGCCCTGGGCTTTCGGTAGACTTGCAGGGCACAGAGTACGGCATGCCCATTATGATCGTGGAGGCAGGCGAATCGACGAACCGTCGTGACTGGGCCCTGGCGGTATAGCCTTGACTGAAGGGAACCCTCCATGTTTGATGTCGACATCCCCACCGGGGCACGTCAGAATCTTATGCCAGTTGGTAGTGGTTTCCCTTGCTGCCGGCTCCTTATGCCAGATGGTAGTGGTTTCCCTTGCTGCAGGTTGCTTTTCTTGGGAAGCCAAATGGAAGTCGAGAATAAGACGAACCCGCAGGCTGCCGATGTGGAAGTCACCCACGAGGCGCTGGAAAAGGCACTGAGTGCCATTTCCTCGGTGCTCCGAGACGCTCATTCTGCACTTTGCGAGTCCTTTTGAGCCAAAACGAGAGCCCAGGTAGGGGGGCACTCTACCAAGCTTGAATAGTTGGAGCTTTCGGATGCTTAGATTCTTTACGGGTTTAGTCAAACAGCTTTGTTTAGGTATCCATGGTGAAATCGTGATACCCTGTTGCAGCGTGATGGTTTGATGAGAGTGAGGTGGCAATAGTTTCCAGCCATTCAAAGCAAATTACTACTGGTGATACCCGCTGCTTCCAGGGTTGCGCCAACCACCTGGTCGCAGCAATCGCACAGTTGACAACCGAACCAAGCAAAACTCATTCAACATGCGTTACATGGTTGGATTCGTGTTGGGATGGGTAGCGGGGATGCACTCAAGAAGCCCTAGCAAATCCTAGCAACCTGTGAGCGCCGGCAGGCCCAGTGCCTGGATTTAGCACATGTTCAATTCCCCTGACCAGCTAAAGCACCCACCGTCGCGTGTGAGCCAAGGAGCGGGTGGACTTTGCCATCTGCTACGACTTGCGGAACATGAGGAGCCACGGTTCAAGCGGTGTGTATTTGCATGACGCCCGCGCAAAGGTGACGTGCAAGCTGAGTCGCTTTCTTTGACGGGTACGGGGAACAGAGTGCTTTTGAAGGTTTGATTGTGCAAGGGAGGCATGGCAGTGGAGCCACTCACTTAGTCACTTGAACACGCTCCCAGGAGGCCCGCCATGAGTGACTCTCGTACCATCATCAACTGGATGAACGACGAGGAGCTGACGTGAACGGTGCCATTTTGCCATGTCATGTCCTTCTGGGAGTGTTTGGGGAGGGTCGCGGGTGCTGCGAGCCTTAGCTTCGCAACGCAAGCTGCTTCTGCGTTTCCAGGGGCGTCAGACCAGAGCCAGTTCCAGGGGAAAGGCTTTGTCCTGGAACCCCAAATTGATCAAACAGGGGGCAACCCAGAACAGGCAAGGATCCTTACTACAACAATAAGTCCACCCATCAATCAACCGTTTGAATTGATGCTAGTACAGGTTGGGCTTCTCCTGCCAGTGCGATATAGGAAGGCAACTCCGCCCTAACGGTTTGCCTCAAGATCGGAACCCAAAATGGGGCGTATGGAACAGTACCTGAAGATTGACAGGAGCTTAGCGTTTTGCTCTGCAAGCATGCGATGATCACCTGCGTCATGGTGGGCAATACCTGGGCTGGGATGGCGATCAGCGGAGGCACATCGGAGCGGAGTTTCTTGAGACCTGGCGGCCCCCCCAAGATTTCATCCAGAGCGCTACTAACAAAACCCAATCAGAATCAGATGCCAAACTCGTCCCAAAGCTGACAAGAATCAGCAGTGACACGGTCCCGGGGTGCCCAAACCTCAGACTCTTAGAAACAAAACAAATAGCGCAGTTTTCGCTTGGTTGCAACTGCCTTCGTTTGGCCCCCCGGCCGATAAACCGATCAACTCAGGCACCAAGCTGATCCAGGGCCTGTGCTCAGCAAAGAAGCCCACGGCCGTGGTTTATACCGAGGAGGGGGATGAGGGCCGTGTGTTTTTGAGGAACCCTTGTTGGGTCTTGAATGCGCCGCCGGCTCATTCCGCCGCCCCCTTGGATTTGGAAGATTAAAATTTGTATTTCTTGAATGTATATATATACACATATATATATATGTGTGTATATATATATATTGGGGTTTGTATTTTTTGTTGTGTTGAGTTGCTTCAAAAGGCAGAAGGTGGGACCCATTATACCCCCGAATCATACCCCGAGTCCGAACCCTTCTGCACATACTGCAAGATGCTACTTTTGATCTACCGTTTGTGTGTTTACTGTCTCCACAGCAACCACCACCAGCGCTACCTACTACCAATACTGCTGCTGCTGCTGACTACTATGAAGACAGGGCTCCTTAAAAGATACAGTTGGCCCAATTGAAACATGGCTTTTTCCACCAATAGAAAGGGAAACCACCATTTATAAGGCAATGTTCAGGTGTATAATGTAAGGATCCCTGTAAGACTGCTACTACGGCTACCGCTACTACCACTACTACTGCTACTACGGCTGCGGCCTTTTCTATTGCTACTACTACTACTACCACTACTACTACTACTACTACTACTACTACTACTACTACTACTACTACTACTACTGCTACCAGTACTGCG